AGGCAGAGAAAATGGAAGAGAAACTGAGAGATAACACTGGCTGAATTCTGGCCTTATTACAGCCCCTTCACATTGGCACAGCAACAAAACAGGGCCAGAATCTCTCCTGGAGAATTCCCTGAATGCAAGAGCAGCACAAAGCCAAAGGAGACAAACTGATGCTGCCCTTGTACAGAGCACCCACTCTAGGAATTTGCTGGCATGGATAGGAAAAGGGAATGGCCAGAATGCAAAATACTGGCAATTTTATAATGTGAAGAGTCCAAAGGAAGCTGGGGAAGCTCCTAACTTAGGGCTTGGCAAGATGCAGCGTGGGGGCCGGATCCGACCTGCCGAACAATTTGATTCAGCTGGGGACTGCATCTAGCAGCTTTCTATTTACATCCTGCTGCCCATGCCACTGAATTTCCAGGCAGCAGCTCAGGCAACAGTATCCTATTTAAATGGCTTGTGGCTCACAGTCGTGGCACTACCTTGGCAGGGACTGGAGCCACAATTCCTTTAAATTGCTGGAGTAACCCTGGGAGGCTGCCAGGCAACAAGGTAGCTGCGGGGCTGGATGCCACAAGCCCTTTGCTATTTTTAATTCAAAGCCTCTGGCCCCAGACAAGAGTGAGTTGAAGCTAGTCCTCAGCCCGGTCCCTTCTGTGCAGGTCCCAGCACTTCATAGAATCATAGAATGCTAGAACTGGAAGGGACCTTGAGAGATCAAGACCAGTCCCCTGCCCTCACGGGCACTGTCTAGGTCCGTGGTCACCAACCAGTAGATCGCGATCTACCAGTAGATCTCATGGGCTCTAAGAGTAGCTCTTGAGCCCTCTCTGAACTACGCGTCTACGCAGTACATTTACATTAGATTTCCTCATTTGAGGAGCAGCTACTCACTGAGCAACAACACAGGTGAGTAGCTGTGAGGAATGGTGGGAGCTGGGAGGTCCGGAGGGCTGAAACACCCCAGCAAGCTGACTGGCTTTCAGCTGAAAGAATCTGCTCCACGCTCCAGCTGATCGACAGCTTCTCCTCTGCGCCTGCCCATGCGGAGCTTGGTGCACCCTGGCTGAACGCCATGGCCAGCTGGCCGGGCAGCCACTTCTCTTCCCTCCAACCTGGCTGCCTTGTGCTCAGCCCAGGGAGGCTGCGTCTAGCTCCAGCTGTGCTGGAGCAAGCTTCCCAGGCTGAGCACAGGACCACAGATGCCCATCTGATGGACTGTATACGACTAGCAATCTCAGACTACAACCCAGACTTCAAGACACTGGCAGATACTGTTCAGTCACAGGTGTCACACTGAGACTTTGTTATTGGAAGAAAAAATATATAATTATCAATACTTAATTTTAGATTTACAAAATAGAGAAAAAATGTATAAATGTAAATGCTTCATTTGACATTTAAACAGCATGAATTAAAAATAGACCATTTATTTCATAACTATAAGCATATGATTTTAATTTTATATATTGCATAATTTAAAAATGAACTGTTTAACAGCGTGTATAAGGGCTGGGGATAGCAAGTGATGGACAGGAGAATAGAGAAGGCGGGGCTTCAAGGAAGGGGCGGGGTTTCAAGGAAGGGGCGGGGCGATAGAGCTTCGCCTGTTCTGAAACTTAAAAAGTGATCTTGGGTGTAAAAAGGTTGGAGACCACTGATCTAAAGCCTCTGTATATTATCTGGCCCTGACTGTCGGGGGTGGAAAGGATGTATAGCTCTGCCGGCTGCCCTCCCCTCCACTAGACTGAAACCATGTTCCTGCACGTGCTGAGGGAAGATCTGTCCCTGCGCTGCCCTCACCTGGAGGATCTGCTCCTGCAACTCCCATTGGCCAAGAATCCTGAGCAATGGGAGCTGCAAGAGGTGGTGCCCACAAGCAAGCACAGGGCAGTGGGGCCTGTCCTGGGCTATCTGCTTCCCACCCCACCTGCCAAAAAGAAGCTGCCACTATGCTATCATGCTTCTGTGGGGCAAAGCTGGCCCATGACCAAGTACCACAATTCATTAGGTGGGCCCCTGTGAAAATTATTGCCCATCCCTGCCCTAATATATGCCACAGGACATATCGAGCCCTAGAGCAAACAGAATTAGAAAGGTGCCATGAAGGTGTAAAGTGATCTTTGCTCCATCCACCCCCATGTACCCATATGGATGGATGCTTTTAGAGATGCAGCACAAAATCTCACCTATGATGCCCAACCTCGACATCCAAGACAGAAGAAACAGAGGTGGAAGACTGAATGAGGGGTGGAAGAATGGAGAAAAGGAGAGCTCCATAAATTTTACATTAGAGATCATCAAGATAACTTAGCACATAGGAGACATAAGTTGTTAGTTTGAGGATTTTGCTAGCTATAGTTCTAGCCATAGCACTGAGAACCCAAGAACAGTACAATGGAATGGCTGCCCTTTTGCTCTTAGATGAGGAGGAAGCACTAACCTCTACCATGCTACCAGAACCAACTCCACTCTGCATATTTTGGGCAGCAGGAACAGACAAGTACAGTGGCTCAAGAACCCGCCCTGCTACTTAAGATGCACGGTAGGGTTAGCTCACAATGGATTTGCCAGTTTGGGGGAACATGAGAGACAATTTACAGTAACATCCAGACTCTCTCAGGTAAACTGTGAATTGCTGACACAGAGGAGCCTGCCTCAGTTTGCAACTTACACATTTATTACCCAGCAGCTTAGTGGCTCTATTTATAAGATACAGCAGACAGCTGGCCCTCCAGGCTGGCAAAGAAAAACAAGGCAAGATTGGAAGTCCATAAAGAACTGGCATGTTTTTAGCAGGGAGTGCTATGGGCATATGTTATGGTAACACTCCATTATCTCAAAGCCAGAGGCTCTGCCTATTTCCAGTTTGGGCCTAACCTTTAAATCAGTTGCAAAACTTCCACTGGCTTCATAGAATCATACGGTTGGAAGAGAGATCATCAAGTCCAACTCCTTGCTAAAAGCAGGACCAATCCCAACTAAGTCATCCCAGCCAGGGCTTTGTCAAGCCCGGACTTAAAGTCCTCTAGGAAAGGAGATTCCACAACCTCCCTAGGTAACTCATTCCAATACTTTACCACCCTCTTAGGGAAATAGTTTTTTTTCTAATATCCAACCTAGACCTTCCCCACTCCAACTTAAAACCACTGCTCCTTGTTCTGTTCTCTGTCACCACTGAGAACAGCCTCTCTCCATCCTCTTTGGAACCTTTCTTCAGGTAGTTGAAAACTGCTATCAAATCCCACCTCCCCCTTCTCTCCACAGACTAAAGAAGCCCAAATCCCTCAGACTATCATCATAAGTCAGATACTTCAGCCCTCTAATATTTTTGTTGCCCACTGCTGGGCTCTCTCCAATGTGGCCACATCCTTCGTGTAATAAGGGGCCCAGAAATGGATACTGGCAGTCCCCGAGTTACGCGGATCCGACTTACGTCAGATCCACAGTTACGAACGGGGCCCGTCTCCCTGGTCTCCAGCAGACCAGGGAGAAGAAGCAAAGCGGCGGAGCACGCGGGCAGCGGACAGCCCAGACGCGTCTGGGCTGTCCGTTGCCCGTGTGCTCCTTGGCTTTGCTCTGCTTTGCTCCCCGTCTCCCTGGGAGCAAAGCGGGAGCAAAGCGGCTGTCCGCTGCCCACGTGTTCCACCACTTTGCTCCCCGTCCCCCTGGTCTGCAGACCAGGGAGACAGGGAGCAAAGCAGAGCAAAGCCGTGGAGCCCGCGGGCAGCAGGACAGCCACGGCCTGTCTGGGCTGGCCCGCTGCCCCCGTGCCCCGCGGCTT